CTCACCTACAATACACTCCATTATTTAAACAACAAGGTTTACAATGTATTTGCCTTTTTATTATTTATTTTTATTATTTAGATGTGCCCCCATCTGTTAGTGCATCAGGAAAACAGTTAGTATATAATTATAGTTTTATAATATTTATTGTTTGTTTGTTTGTTGTTTTTAGAGTTCAATTTGAAGGGCTGAGAGATGTCATTTATTCTGAGGTTGCAGCTCTCATTGCCCAAAATGAAGAAAGACCACACTATCTGGTAAAGGAAGAGAGAAGAAATGAAGAACATTTCTCCTCCATTAATAGAGCCTGTCTCAATATAATATCTATTTATAATTTTATAGATAGAGTTATTTGGTAAATTGCAGCTACTGAACACTGATTATTTAAGACAGAGAGGGTTGTATGCTATACAGGATATTACTAGTCGCTTCTTAACTGAAGTCAATCAAGTAAAATCAATCTTAATTTATTTATTTTATTTGTTTATTAGGGGAAGGCAAGCAAACGAAGCAACAGCGCAAAGTAGTTTATTTATTATTATATTACTGTGTTATATGTTTGTTTAAAAATAGATTTGATTATGTTGAGAAAGTTGATTCAGCCAGTTCACTCTCCACCCCTCCTCCTCCTAATAATAATAACAAGTAATTACTCCTCATATGAGTCTCTTAATTATTAAAGCAATGCTCCTGTAGCAACAATGAAGACATGGAAGAGCCATTACATAATGTAGTGGTTGTTGATCCATTGAGCGTGATGGTATCTGGTGGATCCAGTGATATAAACAGCTTAATGGATGATAAAATTAAGATAATAATGACTGTAAGTATATATAATTATTATAATTACTCCCCTACCTCAATATTTTACGTATTAATACTTTTTATATAGGAAGTTATTCCTTTGCTCAAGGATCATTTGAATACAATTTGTAATGTTGAGCTATTGCAGTACATCCAGGAGTCCATATTGAATATTGTTATCAAGAGTGACAAGGAGGTTGTTAGTATTATAGTCTAGTGTCATTATTGATTTTTGTGTGTTCCATAGCTTAATGTAGATGAAAGTGGCGGTGGACAGTTAAAGAATATGTTCCTCAAACAAATTGAAATCAGTTTGAGTTCTGCCATAGGAAAGTACATCAATAAAAGGTATTATTGTTGTTGTTGTTGTTGTTGTTATTGTTGTTATTATTTAAAGGTTGGGTGATATCGGGGAAGATTTGTTGGTGGATGTTAGCGAAATTTTATTCAATGAATTATCCTACTATCAGCTACTAAAAGAACAGGAGTATGTCTTTATTATTTATTTATTTATTTAACTATTTTT